CCTGTCACCCATCCTCGTAGGAACAAAAAGTGAAAAGTGGTTGGGTATTCTCTTAATTCTCTCTTAATTGAGTTTTTTCTAGTTTTGTTTTTCCTTTCCTTTAGGGAGTTACTGAGTGATAGCACAACAGTCACTGAAAAGGTTAAGGAAAATTCAGTCCTGATTCTTTGTGCTAAAAGTTATTTAATGTTGAACAATCACGAAGGGTTCCCAGTTTGTCCTGTCCTTCCGGGAACCAGGACTGCGATTTTAGCACACACCGTTGTGTGCTCATATTTATCTTCTTAGGACTGATGGATGTCCTTTGACAACCTCACAATGAAAATACAAAACTTTCAGCTGCTCAGACTTTCTGGCATTTAGGCCTTATCTTTCCTGAATTTCCTACCTGAAGTAGACATAAATAGACATAAGAGCTCTACTTACAGGAGAATACTCTTCCAACAGACATACTTCGTGTAATAAAAGAGATGGTCTCCCTCCCATCATCCCAAAGCTGAATAATGGGAGTAGAGCAGATTGTCAGGGGGATACTTGAAACTTAAGGGATGGAAAATACTTCAGCCCTTTTTCCCCCGAGCTGGGTGGAATAGAACAGCCTCATGGATTCTTTCTTGTTTTCTCTCTTTCATGTACTATTCTTTTGTGTGTAATTATTTAAACGGGAGATCCATAGCAGCTTTATGCTAATATGCTGAACAAAGGAGAGGGGCGGGGGAATGGGGAAAGAGGGTAAGGTGAATAGAGGCAAAGGGGAGGAGATGGGGGCTGCAGAGTTCGCGTGTCGATCGCGTGCCCCTCAGACAGACACAACAATCACTAATTCCTCCAAACACAATACACTCTCTCCCGGGTCCCAACTCGACCTGGGTCAAACACTAGCAACACAGGCCATTGTTTATAGATTTTGCTACAATAGGTCTTAGAAAACCTGATGAACCTCTAACTGCAACCTACATTTTCTTGCACATGGCTATTGGAAGAACCGGGGGTGGGGGGGGGGGCGCCGCGGTGTTTCCAGTCATCTTTTTTTCTTCAGCTCAAAGCTATAGAGGAAGGAGGTGGCACTAGCCAGTCCCCTGAACTCTCCGCCTTTAAAAAGGTGCCTCGGTCACTTGCAAACAGTAAAGCTAGGGAATTCTCCTTTTGAGGATTATTTATCTGCTTAAGAGGCTAAGCAAAGTTGGAAGCTAATATAACACTGTACTTCTACTAAAAATCCTCTTGTCGCCCTCTTCCCAGGACCCATCAGCAAATTTCCTGCACCCCAATGACTTAATCATGAAGGTGGGGCCAGTAAGTAATAAAAAAAAAATCAAGATGTTCATTGACTGAAACTAGAGGTAAAACAAAAAATAAACAAATCCGCTCCTATGCTATCCCCCCCAGCATCAGGGTCTGTAGTGGGAAAAGTAAAAGACCGCATCTGTTTTTTTCCCACCAAAAAAAAAAAAAGGCCGGGAGGTAGAGGGGAATAACAAAGTCTGCAATTGGAGTCGGAGTCCTGGCGTTACAGCAAATTCCAATATAGTTTGGCTTCCAGCTTGAGGTCCCTGGGAAGACTAATGTGGGCAGCCAGAATTGAGGGCTAGGTAGGGGTTATTAAGAAGAGGACACTCAATCCTACTGGGAATCTGCTAACCAGAAAGCGATAAAGACTAATTCAGACTAACCTCAAGAGTCCTCAAATGGCAAAAAATTGACCCACAATTTACAGAAAGAAATAAAAGCAAATATTAAATGAATAGGAATAGGTTTTAATGATGGCAGAATGGGATTTGATACTTTGCTATTCAGGGATTAAAATAAGTACCTTTATTTTATGTCAATAAAACCTACACGTATGTAGAGAGATTAAAAAGAAAAAAGTACAGCAGACACGAAGTCCCAGCTTCTCTCAGTCAACACAATCTGCTGCAGCTGTTTTGAAGGCTTTTTTTTTTTGCGACATTTTTTTTGGTCCGGCCCTGGGTTGTAAAATTAGTTTAGAAATACTTGTACCTTTCAAGTCTCAATTCATCTTTATCCTAAGAGACTGAAAGCAGTTTTTATTTCAGCTGGCTAGAGCTAGGAAAACAACAAAAAGAAACAGATCCTTTGAATCTAAGTATCTCAATAGGATTCAATAGATTTTCTTTGGTTAATTCATAGCACTGTTTGAATTCCCTGTGTGCAAAGAGGGGGTGTTTTGTATTGTTTTTTTGCTGGTCTTACATTAATGGGTGTTCTTTCAATAATTATTTTTTTGAGGTTTGCAAGGTTACTTATTTTACCTGGTTATCTGTTAAATAAATGGGGGTGTTGTATGTGTAATGTAAAATATGCTGTGTGCTGTTGAAGGAGAAGGTGGTTCTGAATATTGCTATTGCACAGCAATCCAGGTGGAATCCGTAATTAGAAAAAACTGGGGCAGGTAGCCACGGAAACCTCTCCCATTTCTAGTTTTATAAGAAATACTAGTCAAGGGGTGAAAGGAGGAATTGAATATAACATTTGATGGGAAATATTTAGAAATTTAAGATTTTTGAATTTAGAGTTTGATATTTTACAGAGCTGCCATTAACTCGGGTTAATATTTCAAAAATCAAGTTGACTACTGTTAAATTATATCTCATAATGCTTGTTTTCTACCTATTTTGACATTTATAAGCTCTCCAACCTCAAATCAACAAATACTTATGAATTATATTGATTTGGAAGTTTTCTTACATAGAGACTTAGGTAGAGATCAAAGACTGTTGCACATGTGGACACTGTAAAACTGGTAATCAGTTTATATTTTTAGGATTTGCTGAGAGAAAAAAAAAACAACTAATACCTTCCCTGAGATTAGACACGAGCAAAAGCTCTTGTCAAGGCAAACTAACCAAAATTAGTGATGCTTTCAATCAAATTTCTATTTTCTTTTTGTTAGAAAAATTATTTTTGCCCTGTTACATCCTATGCGGACTTAACTCAGTATTTTAGACAACGTTAAGAAATACATCTGTGCACGTTTTATCCTATTTCTACATAATAGACTGTCACCTAGGAGTTTATCTTCACTGGAGCCTCTTCTCTACAACCCCTCTCCCCATTCAACCCAATGACGTGGATTGTAATATGAATTAGAAGAAATTGCTAGATTGTTTCAAACGTGGGGTTGGGGAGGGGATGGGGCGCAGACCGAATACCTTGTTTCTTTTCGCTGTTATGACTTAGCTGGTGTAAAACCGGCAGCCTGTCCTCTGTAAAACCGTTGCCTTGTCTTGGTGGACAGATTTCTCCCTCCTTCTACTCTACTCCCCACTCACCCCTCCTCTTTTCCCCAGCCCCCCTTCCCCGGCCCCGCAGCACGCGTCTCTTTCTCGTCCAGATTGGCCGCGGTTCGTGTTCAATAGAAGGAGGTTAATTTCCTTCACAAAGGTGAAAGGGGCACGGCTCTGGGAGGCTACTGTGCAGAGACAGACAGGCCCTTTATTTTTTAGCTACTTGATTAGACCCCTTGATTTAGCATCTGATGTCAAACAGCAGACAAAATGTACGAACTGAATTAAAATGCATGAGGCAGCAAAGGATAATTTAAAAGAAGTTTATCAAAATGGATTGATATGTACGTGAATTTTGGTATTTTGCAAATACTTTAATAAATGAAATGACTGTGCTGTAGGGGAGCAGAGGGGCAACTTTGCACGAACGATGAGCTTTAATAGAGCATTATAAAGATACAGGAAATAACTAGTTTTGGTAGGACTCTACCAAAAAGAAAAAAAAACTTTCAAAATGTAAGTTCTTTTTGAAAGCAGAAAAGAAGATTCAGACTAATTCATCAAAAAGTGCTGTGAAATGACTTCTTGAAGTTAATTAAGACTTTTAAAAGAGAGAAAGAGTTGGTGATGTGGATACTAATATTTCACTCCAGTAATTCAGATACAGTCTGAATTCCTAAATCCCTTCAGTTAGTTTAGCAGAAATACCAGTGTTTCTATTTTCACTTGAAATACAGCTTCCCTGAGGAATTTTCTGGGTTGCTATCCCGGTGAAGGAGTCGGTTTTGGATTCGGTGTGTTGATTTTCAGATATCACAGATTTCTGCTATTTTCCACTTTTATTAATTTTCCAAAAACCATGCTTTCTTCCCTGTCTTTGACTTCTTAAACAATTCAGATGTCACATTTCTGACTCTGCCCTCTTCACCATCTTTCTCCGTTTTTTCTCTTCCACACCGCACTTCCCCCCTCCCGTTGCCCCCCCCAACTTCGCCCTCCACTTCAGTTTGCATATTGAACCCTCCTGACATATTTTGGGCCATTCTTCTTCTTTGTTGCTATTTTGCTCCAGAACTGCGGGTAATCCCACCGATTTTAGATGCTGCTCATTGTGATGCTGATGGACATTTCCATTTGGCAGATCTGTGCCCCCCGGAGGAGAGACACAAAGCCAAGGCACGTGTGCCTTCCTATAGAAAACCATCAGACCGTGAAAAGAGGAGGGGCCAGGCGTGTGCCTCTATCCAGGAGGGGCCAGAAGTAAATAGGAGGCAAAAGGGGGGGAGGGGAAAAGGGAGGGAGGGATGGAAAGAAAAGAAAAGGGGGAAAACACCCTCAGGTACATCTGCTATACCTACTAAGCAACCCCTAAGTCCCTGCCCCCTTTTTTCAAACCTCTTTACCCTCCCACCCTCGAATCCATAGGAGCAGTGGGAAGCTCTGATTGGCTCGGGACGGAGCGGGAGGCGAGAACAATGGCATCCTCCCCCCCTTAAAAAGAGTGCAGCTATCTGGGCAGGCAGGGGAGAACAGGGACGTGTTTGCGGGGGCACGGAAGGGAAAAAAAAGGCGCACCACAGACACGTCCCACAGACATCACACCAGCAGGCAGGAGCGAAGGAGTTCGCGACTGCTTACTGCGGGCGGAGCCAGACTGATGGGCGAAGACGGCGGGAGGCGCTGAGAGAGAACCGGGTACCAGCCAGAGAGGAAGGAGGCAAGGACTATAGAGTGAGCTCCGAGGCGCGCGGCGGGAGAGCCGAGAAGGGCGCATCCCTGCGCCGCCCCCCTCCAGTGCCTTCCTCAGTATCCGGGGTCGCCCGCCCCTCTCAGCAATCCAAAGATGCCCCGAGGATTTCTGGTGAAAAGAAACAAGAAGTCCACGCCCGTGTCCTACCGGATCCGCTGCTGTGAGGACGGGGACCGGGAGCTGCTGCTTTTCGCCAGCTGCGGCGGCGGCGGTGGCGGCTCCTCTCCGTCCCTCCCCGGCTCCGAGCGGGCTCCGGCAGCGCTGCTGGCTAGCGCGCCCCCGGCCCCACTGTTGCTGCCGCCGCCGCTGCCGCTGCCTCCCCGAGAACTGCCCGTGCCGCCGCCACCGGCCGCGGGCCCCAAGCCCGTGCAGTTCGGCAACCCCGAGGCGGTCTACCCGGCGCCGCTGTACAGCCCCACGCGGCCCGTAAGCCGGGAGCACGAGAAGAAGAAGTACTTCGAGCGCAGCTTCAACCTGGGTTCTCCAGTCTCCGCAGAGTCCTTCCCCACGCCCACAGCCTTGCTGGGCGGCGGGGGCGGCAGCGGCGGGGGCGCGAGCAGCAGCGGCGTTGGGGGGGGCACCTGCGGCGGGGACCCCCTTCTCTTCGCCCCTGCCGACCTCAAGATGGGCACCGCCTTCTCCTCGGTCGCTGGCGCGGAGGCTGGAGGCGGGGGTGGGGGCCGGGGCGCCGGCAACCACCACCCCCCGGCCGGCAGCCTACTGTCGGTCCCCGGTCCCGCCGCCGCCGCCACCCTGCGGCACCCGAGTAAACGGCCTGCGCCCGCGCCTACTGCAGAGGCCGGTGCTCCCTCGGCCAAGCCGGCCAAAGCGCCGGCCGCCAAGAAGCCCAAGGCCATCCGCAAGCTGCACTTCGAGGACGAGGTGACCACGTCGCCCGTACTGGGCCTCAAGATTAAGGAGGGCCCAGTGGAGCCGCCCAAAGGCCGGGCCGGGCTGGGGGCAGCCGGTGGGGCTGCGGGGGGCGGTGGCGGCGCGGGCAGCGGCGCAGGCGGCGGGGGCGTTGGTGGCGGCGGAGGTCGGCCGCTGGGCGAGTTCATTTGCCAGCTGTGCAAGGAGGAGTATGCGGACCCGTTTGCCTTGGCCCAGCACAAGTGTTCCCGCATTGTGCGCGTGGAGTACCGCTGCCCCGAGTGCGACAAGGTCTTCAGCTGCCCCGCCAACCTCGCTTCGCACCGCCGCTGGCACAAGCCCCGACCCCAGGCAGCCGCAGCCGGCGGGCACCACGCCCCGGGGACAGCGGTGGCCGCCGCGGGTCCCCTGGCCCCGCCAGCCGGGGGCGCCCGAGCGGCCGAGGGCAAAGGCAGTGCGGACGAGGCTCTGGCCAAGGCTGGGGCTGGTGGCGAGCCGAAGGAGGCGGGCGGTAGCGACCGGGACACGCCGAGCCCCGGGGTGTCAGAATCAGGCTCCGAGGACGGGCTGTACGAGTGTCACCACTGCGGAAAAAAGTTCCGTCGCCAGGCCTACCTGAGGAAGCACCTGCTGGCGCATCACCAGGCCCTGCAGAGCAAGGGGACGGTCCAAGGGGCGCCGCAGTCCCAGCCCCCGCCCCCGCCCGCCCAGCCGGACGACCTACTGGTCTACCCCAGCTACCCGGGGTCCGACGGCTTGCAGCCGCTGCCACCGCCCGAGAAGGCGGGGAAGGAAGCTGGGGGCGAAGGGGAAGCGTCGAATCCCCTCAACATGAGTGCCCCCACCGAGTGCCATCTGTGCCCTGTGTGCGGGGAGACCTTCCCCAGCAAGAGTGGCCAGGAGCGCCACCTCCGCCTCCTGCACGCGGCCCAGGTGTTCCCCTGCAAATATTGCCCGGCCACCTTCTACAGCTCGCCGGGGCTCACACGGCACATCAACAAATGCCACCCCTCGGAGAACAGACAGGTGATCCTGCTGCAGGTGCCTGTGCGTCCTGCCTGCTAGAGAGAGCCTGCTCCGAACAGGAGAGAAGAGGAGAAGGAAAGGGAAAAGAGGAAGGAAGGAAGAAAAAGAAGACGAAAAAAGCCTAACCCCTTTTCCCTGTCAGAAATATCCACCCCATCTCCAGCCCCTATAGCCCCAGCTCCCCAGCCCCTGAAGAAGTGTGCCTTCGCTTGTAGAACCACAAAGAGACTGTGAGCCCTGGCCGTCGGTCCTTCAGTCCATCAGTCTGTCCCCAGCCCTGTCCCTCCTGCTCCACCCCAAACTGCTTTCTTGGCGTTCGTGAATGAAACGCGCTTGGTGGTGAAAACTGAAACGTGAAAAGTGTTGTCTTGATCTTGTAGCGTGCTGGTAACCAACTCTTCACCCCTCTCCTCCTCCATCTCCCAACCCTGTTGTGATTTATTTTTTTAATTTCTCCTTCATTATCTCCAGGTTAACTTGTTCACGTAAGAGCTGTTTTATTTCTGTTAAAAGGGAAGAAAAAGCTGTACACTTTTGTCTCCTTGTTGGTGTTCCTCCCTTACCCTACGCTATTACCCTTTCCTTTGGATTTTTTGGAAGCTCAAAATATATACCTGCTGAATCCTTTTGCAAAGCAACTGTTTTTACTGCTAGTGTTCGATGTGTTGACGGTCTCTAGAAAGTCTCCTTTTTCTCTCCTTTTCTACCCATCTCTACTCTTTTCTCTACATGTATTTAGCCTACGGGTTGTTTTTAGTCAATCTTAAGGAATAATGCCTTTATACTTCACAGGCTGTAAATTGAATTTACCACATGATTAGCTTTATTATGGCTTGTGAACTGCTGGATTCTGGCTTTACCTTTTTGTATGTGAACAAATCAAACTGCTTAAAAAAAGAGTTTTCTTTAGTATAGCCACAAATGCCTTGAATTGCTGTTTTGTTTCAGGGTTGTTTTTAGGGGGAGGGGAGGGAAGTTTTCAGAGTATGCTGTAGAAATTGCCTTAATATTACATGTCAACTTTTTTGTTTGATAATCTTTGTTGCGGTAGGACCATATGAGTTTACTCTAAATGTATATGTTGATTTATGAGTGTTATTTATTCACTATTTATTTATATTATGAAAATTATGATATTATTTGATTGCGGATATTTTTGATGCGCTTTTTTTCTGCCACTTGTGACATTTCACTGTGCATTTTAGAAGAGGGTCTTTTTCTAAAGGGATCTGCTAAAAGTTTTAACTTTTATACCTATCTGAGCGATTACATACAACCTTACCATTTGCTTGGAGGGCTCAGACAGCTCTTGTACAACCGACAGCTCTTACTTTTAGATGCAATCTCTTTTCTACACACATTATTTTCTTAATTGTTAGCTATTTATAGAATGCTTCAATAGAACTGTTTCAACTGTATAACTATTTACTATTCAAATAAAATATTTTCCAAGTCAAATACATATTCACTGTGTCATTTCTGTACTCAATAAGCACCCTCTCTGTACTTTTACACTACTTCCACTTATCTTCCCTTACAAAGATCAATTAACATCACAGAAAACATTTTTACAGACATTCAGTACATTTTTACAAACTTGTGTGGGGCTCTGAATTCTGGTCTCACTATACAGCCCCAAGAAGTCCAAGAGGAGTAACAGTACTGCAATTAGGCATAATAGTTAGGCTGGCTGGAGTCTTTCTGGAAAACCCTTAGTGATAATGTAAATGTTCTGAGGTGTGAAACATAAGACTACTGTCCATCTTTCTCAAGATAGGTCCTGAGCATCCACTTGTTACCAAAGGGAGTGAGAAAACCCATTCCTTTTTCAGACACTCCCATTTTCTGAATATTTGTTCAGTAAAGCAAACAGTTCCTCTCCTACCCACCAAAAAATTGGAATACTAAAAGGAAGAAAATGGAAAAAGAAAGATTCCTTTTCATCACACTTGTTTATACAAAAGTAATCTCAGCAAATAAAAATATGAAATCCTGGTCTTTAGGATAATGGTGTTTTTAAAAAAAAGTTTTACTCTAAATTGAAGGTATTAATGAAAACGGTTAGATACAAAGTTAAATTCTAGTTGGTACATCCTTTTGAAGTATAAAACCAAAGAATGACCATGGAAACTTGTTGCACTCAGATTCCCAAAGCAAGTGAGACAGCAGTACACATGTTAAATTATTTGAGAGTAATGTAAATGACCTCTCAGATAAATGAAATTTTAAAACCCTCAAAATAATGCCCAACTCTCCTTTGGTATATGGGGACTGAAAGAAAAATGAGAATCCATTAATTAGTAGAGCAATTCATTTTGAAGCGTGGGGGGGGAGCTCCATTTGTTTTCATCTTTAGAGTTAATACAGGATTATATTACTTTCCTCTCTGAAAGTCACTTGACCCTTTAAAGTGCCTATGATACTTTGAGTTTTAATGTGATTTGAATTTTCTGAATGTTTAGTTAAGAAATTACCCCAAACACCAACAGTATTGCTTCCTTTACTATGTCACTTCACTACTTTGCCATTTGGAAGGAGAAGCCATAGTCTTTTTAACAATCAATCCCCTGAATAAACTGAAGAGTTCCTATCTATAAAAGAAGATGTATTTCAAAACAATAATGTACTCTGAAGGTGGGAAGAATTCTATTTTAAAACAATTCCAGAAAAAGCTTACCTAACATACAGGATTTTTGATTATGGAATAACTTGTTTTGAGAACTCTCAACAGAGTTTACTGGCATCATTCATAATGCAATAAAATTTAAATTTTGTATGATAGGGAATTTGGCTTTACGAAAAATCAACATAGGACTGCTCACCAACATTGAGCTAGCTATTCATGAACAAAGACTTTTTTTTTTCCTTCATGAAAGTAATGAAAAAATTGAGATAAGTCAGTGAAGGTACATGGTCTCAAAGGTAAAATACCTTAGGTCTCGTTACTGGTGGCTGTATCTTGTATGATATAAACAATGGTCCACAGTGCTGTACTAAAGACAAATAGCAAATATCAGAGGAGCTCAGGATTAGTTCAGATTAAAGTAACAGACTTTAAGCACCTCCGAACCCAAAAGGTCTTAAAAAAAAAAACTCAGAACAGGAACCAATGGGTTTAAGTTACAAAGGGGAAAATTTTCTTTCTGAGGACAAACTTGCTAACATTTAAAATTGTCCAAAAGGATTACACAAACAGTTGTCTTGGCACACAGTAAGGTCTCTCAGACAATGTGGAATTTGGATGCCACTATCCCAGGCTGCTATTAGATAAGAGATTCCTGCTTCAAGTATGGAGTAGATTGGTTGACCTATCTCAGATTTTATGATTCCATGTTCAGGAAAGTACACTTGGTGATAGGGAAGATAAGAGATTCAGTGCAACAATATGCAGGTAGTGAAGACATTATACTCTTGAGATAAATTACCTGTACTGTAATCTAATTATCTTAACAACTTTCTCTCATTACTAACATGAAGCAAACAAAAAAAGAAATTTCAGAGTCCCATTATTGTGATTTTTTGATCCAAATATTGTCCTATATAAAATATTTTGGTAGATGCTAGGCTAATTAAGGACAAGGACTTTCTCCATTTTTGTTTGTATTCACAGTGCCTTGCACATACGAGACAAATTTTTTTTAATATGTTAACACAATATCATTTGATGTGTTTTACTTGCTTGTGGAAACGGATGGCCATATAGATCTAAAAATCTAGTATGAGAGAAAGAATTGCTAGGAATTTTTTTATCCGTATTCAATTCTTCATTTTTCTCATATGAAAATGCTTAAATCAAGGTAAATTGACAACTTTATAAGGAAGAACCTAATTAAATAAAATTATCCTAATTTCCCCAAAAGACTGATTTTTCAATCAACAGTGATACACTTCAGTTACAATGAGGTTGAAATATGAAATTAACAGTGAAATTAGTTACATTCAAGGAAAAACAACAAAGAATCCATATCTTCAAATTTAAATTGTGTGGTTATTATATAAAAAGTTGGTCACTTTAAAGTGATAGACTACAAAATTAAATGTGGAAAGTTCCTCTTTTTAAGGGAATAAGATACTGCATATGACTTCTTGGGTATTTACTAAGCCCATCTTCTGCATAATTACATTCAAATCATGCAGACAACTGAGTACTTTACAGGAGGTTGTTATAGTCTTATGGGAAGTTTCCAAGAAAACAGGTCTTTGTAAGATGGAGAGGCACGGCCTGTTTCATTGTGAAGCTTTGTTAGAGATGAAAGGAAGGAGGTAAAAATGAAAAAGAGGAAAAAATTTAAGGAAGAAGACATATCCCTCTTTGAGTTGCTCTCCCTCAAAGGAATTCCAACAAAAAAATTAGGAATTTGTTTGCCCTTAGCAATTTGTTGATCCCTATACTTGTCTCTTATCTCAGAGAAGTAGTTTGACACTGCTTTTGTTTTTTGATTCTAGCCTCCAGGGTTCAGATGCTATGTACTACAGACTGAGGACGCCCAGCCAAGCACCAGAAGGCCATTCTAGATTGAGATAGCTACAAAACAAAGCTTTTAAAGATCCTGCCCTCTTACATTGATATGTAATGGGGGTCTGGTGAATGTGCATGTGCCATACCTCTGGGTGACATTGGGCAAGTCATTTAACCTCTCAGTTTTCTAATCTGTAAACTGGGAATAATAATAATACTCACTTGATAGGGTCCTGATTATCAAATGAAATTACCTCTGCAAAGTGAATCGCAAGCCTTAAAGTGCTGTATAAATGACTTATGATTATCATCTTTCTGCACATTTCCCACAAAATAGTCAAGTTAGTCTTCAAGATTATGCAAATGGAGAATGACAGCTCAGAGAAAGCATACTTCCAAGTCAGACTCTCCTAAAGGATGAAGAACAAAGCTTTTGTAACTTCCATTTAGTGCTTTCCATTAGCTAGATGCTCACAAATATCCAAAGATAATGCATTTCTGAACATCACGTTTTTTGTGCTTCAGAGAAAAGGCAGGAAATATAACCATTAGCCCAACATTCACACACACACACACACACACACACACACACACACACACACACACAATCTCAGCATTGGAAGGGAACTCAAGGACCATGTAGTCTAACCCATAACTAAACTAGAATCCCTGGACTTGCCAACGTATCTGACAAGTGGTCATCCCACCTTTGTCTGAAGACCTCTAGTTAGGGAAAACCCACCACTTCAAGGGGCAACCCATTCCATCTGGCATTAGCTCTAGTTACTAGGAATTTTTTTTTATGAAAATGCTGAAATAAGGCAGAGGCTGAGCAAATAACCACGTGCACTTAACACCAACAGGATAGGCCATAGGCAGGTCCCTAAGCCTGTTGATAGCTTTGACTGAGAACTTATTTTGGATCTACTTAGCCCTGAGATAAAAGGTTGAGGTGGGGGGAAGGAGGAGAGAAAATGCTACCAGGCCAGTGTGACCTGATACTTTTCTATAACAGGTACAGATCAAGTATTGTTCAGTTGCTATCTTTTTTTTTCTTTTTGGTGAGGCAATGGTGCTAAGCGACTTGTCTGGGGTCATGAAGCTAGTGAGTGCCAAGTGTCTGAGGTCACATTTGAACTCAGGTCCTCCTGGCTCCAAGGCCAGAGCTCTATCCACTGTACCACCTAGCTGCACCTCATTCTTTTTAAGCTATCCATGTTGCCTATGTCCTGCTACAGTTTTCATGTCTTAGTCTCTGGGATTTAATACCAGAGCAGCCATTAGCCTTTTTAATTATTTTATTTTCAAGATAATAGTCAAGAGAGCAGAGGAGTTAAAGTTTTTTCACTTTTATTTTTTGCCTTGTAATGGAACACTTCCTTCACATAAGCATAATGTTCTCTCTAGACAGGAAATGGGTATATTCATAGAAAGAATGTTTAAAAAAATCATAGTTTGCATATTAAAAGTAATATTGTATGAACACTTTGTCTTGTAAAAGAGATTGTGTCACAAGTTATACAATATCCTCAGCTTAAGTTTTATGCCTCAGTTTCTTCACTGTAAAACAGAGATAATGCTGTTAGCAATTACTCACCACTCTTTATGAGAATGAATGAGATAACCATAGAGGATCTGGGGGATTATGAGATGAAAGGTTATATAGAGCACCAACAATTTACTATTATTTTCATAGCCAGGAAAGGGAGATCTCTCTTGAATGAGTGCTATTCACTATTGGATGTCAAAGCAGACATGAGTATTTCAGACCAAGTACAAATTGATTGACCTATAGTAAATTTATTCCTAGAAAAATTTCTTCTGTTCTTTCAAACAAGACATTTTGATTCTCCAGAGAAATGTGCTTTTCCTCATCTAGCCTTCAAAGGACAGAGAAGCAAACAGGTGCTGCCTACCTCTGTCCATGGCATTTGGTTTAATTTTTGTTTTTTCGTGCTATGTGCTATCAGCTTTTCCTAAACAGTATGCAAGTTAAACT